AAAAAAAAAAAAAAAAAAAAAAAAAAAAAAATGATAACAGTAATACATTTTATTACCTTAAATAAAAACACACACACACACAAACCAAAAAAACAAAAACTGCTTGTTCAAAACTCCCCTAATATAGCTACTTGTCAGGTTTTGAAGATCACTGAGGATTATTCAGATTACTTTCTGTCACTGGGATTTGACATGAATTCCATGACAAAAACATCCTTCATTTTTGGGGCCATTTTGCACTAATGCATGTCTTTTAGCACAAGGTGGTAGGGGTCACCCACATCTTGAGCCACAGCAATGACAGTGCTCCAGATAAGATAAAGCCACACACATTGGAGAATGAGACCACCACAGCCTCCACTTCCTGGGCTCAGGTTATCTTTCCGCCTCAGCCTTCCAAGTAGCTGGGGCCACAGGCACGCATCACTATGCCTGGCTGATTTTTTAATTTATTATAGAGTCGAGATCTCGCTGTATTGTCCAGACTGGTCTCAAATCCCTGGGCTCAAGCAATCCTCTCCCCTCTACCTCCCAAAGTGCTGGTCTGTGCCATGGCACCTGGGCTGGCATTGAGATGTTTAGAGAAGAATGGCTCCAGGCATGGGAGGAAGCAAGAGGACAGGTGGTCAGAGAAGAGGGGAGAATCCAGACTGAGGCAGGGGACAGGCGGCTGTGGCAGGCTGCAACATGACACGCTGCAGGCAAGGGCAGGGTGGTGTGCGGGGCCAGACATTCCACAGAGAGGACCTTACCGGTGAACGGCAAGCAGCCATCTCTGCAGAGGTGTGTAGCAACAGACGCGAAGTACTTGTTCAGCAAGGATTCTGTGTGTCCCCAGAGTGCTGGCCTTGGTCTGGGTGCCAGGGACCTGTAGGGAATGACTGATGGCAAAGGGTGAAGACTTGGTAGACTATCAGAGGTTTCTTGGTCAAGCTGGAGGGAGAAAAAAGGAGGTGGGAAGGAGAAACAGGGCGAAGTAAGAAATTTAACCGGCCGGGCTCGGTGGCTCAGCCTGTAATCCCAGCACGTTGGGAGGCCGAGGTGAGTGGATAGCCTGAGCCCCCGGGTTCGAGACCCGCCCGGGCAACTTGGCGAGACCTCATCTCTACAATAAATAAAAAATGATCCGGGCGTGGTAGCGCGTGCCTGTAGTTCCGGCTACTCGGAAGGCTGAGGCGGAAGGATTGCCAGAGCCCAGCTGGTTGAGGCTGCGGTGACCAGGAGCGGTCACTGCACTCCCGTCTAGGTGACAGAGTGAGACTCCAACTCAAAAAAAAAAAAAAAGAAATTTAATCTTAGGTATGGGGAGAACTAAGCACACTCACAGCCAGCAGATGAGACACTGAAGATTTGAGAACAGGGACAGGAGGCAAGAGGTGACAGGCTTAAGATCTTTGGGAAAGAGGAAAGACAAGCAAAAGAAAGCCAAGCATGGTGGCTCACGCTTGTAATCCTAGCACTTTGGGAGTCCAAGGTGGGAGGATCGCTTGAGACCAGGAGTTCAAGACCAGCTTGGGCCACATAGCAAGACCTGTCTCTATATTAAAATTGATTAATAAAATTTAAAAAAGAGAAGCAAAAGAAGGAAAGAGGCACATCTGGAAAGAACCTCCAGTGTGAGGGGGCCAGTCGGTCAGAGGTGGTCTCTGCCAGCTTCTGCCTCTGTAAATGGGGGACTCAGACCTGCTCTGGGTGTTTGTGGACATTAAACCAAGTGGGGACCTGGGAGCTTGCAATGACGGGGCCTTTAGCATATACTTGAAGATAAGACACACAGGGTGGAGAGTGCAGCTGGGTCAGGCCAGGAGTGCTGGAGGCTTGGAGGATTGATTGGCAATTCTGAGGGGAGGAGGCAGGCCAGTGGCTAATGAATAAATTCTTCCCTCTAGCAAGAGACGGGAGAGCAGAGCCCTTCTAGAGCCTTGAGGCTACCTATTCATCACCACTAGCCATCCCCAGAAAGTGGACTGAGAGGTCACTGAGGAATGTCTCCGTGCCCCAAATTTCTCCCTTGAGACAGTCTGAAATTATAAGAACTTAATATGCGCTAAAAAGTAAATATCCCAGCCGGGCTCGGTGGCTCAGCCTGTAATCCCGTGCCTTTGGGAGGCTGAGGTGAGTGGGTTGCCTGAGCCCGCGGGTTCGAGACCCGCCTGGGCAGCGAGACCTCATCTCTACAATGAATCAAAATCAGCCGGGCGTGGTAGCGCATGCTTGTAATTCCGGCTACTTGAAAGGCTGAGGCGGAAGGATCGCAGGAGCCCAGCAGGGTGAGGTTGTGGTGGCCGGGAGCGGCCACTGCACTCCAGTCTAAGCGACAGAGTGAGACTCCAACTCAAAAAAAAAAAAAGAAGTAAATATCCCTGAGGAAGGGCAGGGAATATCAGTATTTCGTACCTTAGAGCGAATTAGTGAATTTGCTCTAAGTATAATTGAGGAAGAGGCCAGGAACTCCCTGTGGGCGTGGCAGAGACCTGTCACTCAGTGGGGAGGGGGTGGGGCTACTGCTCCCAAAGGTCCCATTTACACTGGCAAGGTACGCGGAAGCAGCTGGGAAACAGAGAGGGAGACAGGAGAGGTCCTGGGGAACGCAGAGAGGTCGCTTTCGAACTGCAGAGTCCAGGCTACAAGTCATAAGGCTTAGGTCACCGCGAGGCAGCTACATGAGGAGTTTCCAGAAGCTTTCTGGCTTTCCCCCTCGACCAGCTGGGCTCAGGCGATATGTCCACCTCAGCCTTTTAAGTAGCTGGAACTACAGGTGCACGTCACCACGCCCGTCTAATTTTTTGATTTATTGTAGAGACGAGTTCTCACCAAGTTGTCCAGGCTGGTCTCGAACCTCTGGACTCAGGCAATTCTCTCACCTCGGCCTCCCAAAGTGCTGGGATTACGGGCTTGAGCCACCGCACCTGGTCTAATCTCCCTTTTCTTACATTTGACTTTTAGCCAACTGTTCAATCTCATTTTACAGACAAGGAAACCAAGGCCCAGGAGTAGTGACTTACACAAGGTCACACAGCAAACCAGAAGGGAAGCCAGATTAGAGGCGCTCCACGACCCTGCCAGTGCCCCACGGTACCCGGCCACCTGTTCTGTACCCGGCCACCTGTTCTGTGACACCTCCAGTTGGCCGGAGTGCCTGCAATCCAAAGGGCACCGGGGAATACAAAGCATGACTCCTCCCTTGTGGGAGTTAATGATTAAAATCTGGCCTGATCTGAAACATCTTAACCACAGTTACTCATTAAGCCAATTTCAGTGACAAAAGACACTGCAGACAGAAGAGTGGAGTGTTCTTTTAAACTGCATCTCCAGGCCTTAAGCTGCAGTGACATAAACTGTACAATGACAATATTTCAAAATATGCCACCTTAACATCTGGACTTGACATTTTCTCCCCATTGCATGCCATGTGCTAGGCCCTGAGAAAGTGGCTTTGTAACTTTTGGGAGGAGGAGTTTAACTAAAATAACTTCATTTAGTGTTTGAGTGAAGCAGGTAATAAAATCTGTTTGCTGTGTTCGCTGTCTCCAGATAGGGCTGTAATTACACCACATAGGGAAGAAAGGTAGCTGAGCTTCAATCTAGATCATTTATGTCAACTCAGCCTTCTTGTCAACGGGGCTCTCATATTGCATGCGTGCAAACCACAAAAATCATCTCCTGTGGACACACAGAGACAGTGTCCGGTTGCAGACCCGTGAGATTGCTTGTATTCTTTCTGTAATTGGATGTCTGTGGTTCCAGACCAAAATTTGACATTCTGAGGTTAAAAGAAAACTCTTACTAATAAATTCCCTGGCACAATTCTATTTCTGAAACCTGTAAAAATTAAACATATTCCTTAAACTAAGGTAGTATATTTGAATACATGTCACTTGAAAAAAGTTCCCTTTTCATTGAAAAAGTTTGGTTGTTGGAAATGTGTTTGAAGAAAAAAAATGTGACCTTCAAGAAAGAAAAACAGACGATTCCCAATATAACCAATTTAACATCTGATAACATTTTAATTTCCGACTTCATATATTTGGCAACATTTCGGCAATTTCTTCAAAAAAATCATATAAAAACCACGAAGCACAGAATATATCCCTCTTGTATCTAGAAATACAGAGACACAATTGCCAGATGACAAAAAAAAGCATATGTTTCTTAGTGCACTGTACGACTCTCCGTTATGAGAACTGGTCACTACTTTTGCAAGTGACAGTCCTCCCTGGCTGGCATTGATGGCGTTTCTCTTGACACCTGCAGCTTCCAGCTCGCTCCATCCTCTCTAGAAGGAAAACCACAGGCCACCGCCCTGGCGCCATCGCTGGCTGGGCCCAATCAATACAGACTTCTTTCCTGTCCATTTGCTGAGGTCACAGGAGCGAATCTCATTAATTATTTCTGCTACTGCAGCCTCAAGTGTGCTTCTGGCGTGACAAGTGAAATAACTGCTTGACCTTTTTTTCTTCTAATTTTGTTTGTAGCAGTTCCAGAAAGAAGGCAGTATTCATTTAGCAAAGGGATAAAGGGAAGGAAAAAAAATGTATGTGTTTTTCAAGTCATTAACACATTTTAGCTATTTCATCCCGAAAGCTCTCCCGATCACCTCGTTCCCTGGGCTCTTCAGCTAATTAACAATAGTGTCTTTTTAATTTGGTGTCACGAAAATCTGGTCACAGCAAACACAATGTTTTCTAAAGCAGATCTGGCCTCCGAGGGAGGAAAGCTCGCCAGGGCTTCCAGGGCCTTGTTTCCATGGTAACGACACAGGTCAATAGCTGAAGTCACACCTTTGCCAGCTTTGATTGTTTCTCGCAACTGTTAAGAAACAAATGCACAATAAAAGTCAGTTTTCAAGGTACCCAGTATGCGCCATAATTAAGACGGGGAGGGGAGGTGGGAAGGAAAAAATGGGGAGAAATCACGCAGATTCAGTCTTTCTGCTATGTTATTTTGAGGAAAAGCGGACAGCATTCCCCAGTGAAGCTGAGGCTCAGTGTTTCCTATGGTTGCCTGGTATCTGCACCGTGGCAGCACAATGGGTTCCAATCAGCTTAATTACACCCCCTCCCACCCCTTTATATCTTGAGATGTGCCATGCTGGGGGATGGAGGCCATGGAGGCAAAGGGCATTTCCATCTCTGGCATTTCAAACTCAGCAGCCTGATATTCCCATGCGAGGAAGTCTTCACTAACATCTTAGTTAATACCTTTTTTTAGCACCATATGTTGACACAATAGTCCATATGAAGATTCAAGAAAGACACAGTATTAGATTTGAACGCCTCATTTTTTTTTTTTTTTTAATTTGAGTTGGAGTCTCACTCCGTCGCCCAGACTGGAGTGCAGTGGCCGCTCCCGGCCACCGCAGCCTCGACCTGCTGGGCTCCGGCGATCCTTCCGCCTCAGCCTTCCAAGTAGCCGGAATTACAGGCATGCGCTACCATGCCTGCTGATTTTTTGATTTATTGTAGAGATGAGGTCTCGCTGCCCAGGCGGGTCTCGAACCCGCGGGCTCAGGCAATCCACTCACCTCAGCCTCCCAAAGGCACGGGATTACAGGCTGAGCCCGGCTTGAACGCCTCATTTTTAAAACTGAAAGATTTTAGATTTTACTCAACTGGGAAGAAGAACTAAAACTCCGTTTGTAAATAATAAAGTTAGCATGATGTGGTGGTGTGTGCCTGTATTCCCAGCTACTGGGGGGCTGAGGTGGGAGGATTGCTTGAGCCCAGGAGTTCAAGGCTGCAGTGAGCTATGATTGTGCCACTGCATTCCAGCCTGGGGAACAAAGCGAAACCTTGTCTCTAAGGGAAAAAAAAAAAAAGAGCCGGGTGTGGTGGCTCATGCCTGTAATCCCAGCACTTTGGGAGACAGAGGCAAGAGGATTGCATAAGCCCAAGAGTTTGAGACCAGCCTGGGTCACATGGCACGATCTCATCTCTACAGCTGGGTGTGGTGGAGCATTGCCTGTAGTCCTAGCTACTTGGGAGGCTGAAGCAGGATTGCCTGAATAAAGTAAACTCGTGCAGACAAATGAAGTTGACTTTCTTTTTTTTTTTTTTGAGTTGGAGTCTCACTCTGTTACCCAGGTTAGAGGGAGGGCAGTGGCACAGTTCCAGCCACCACAGCCTCAACCTGCTGGGCTCAGGTGATCCTTCAGCCTCAGCCTTCTAAGCAGCTGGAACTCCAGGCACACACCACCATGCCCAGCTAACTTTTTTATTAATTGTAGAGATGAGGTCTCACCAAGTTGCCCAGGTTGGTCTCGTACCCTTGGGCTCAGGAAATCCTCTCACCTTGGCCTCCCAAAGTGCTGGGATTATAGGCGTGAGCCACCGCATCTGGCCTATGTCCTGTACTTTCTTTCTTTTTTTTTTTGAGTCAGAGTCTCACTCCGTTGCTCAGGCTAGAGTGCAGTGGCATGCTCATGGCCACTGCAGCCTTGACCTGCTGGGCTCAGGTGATCTTTCTGCCTCAGGTTTCCAAGTAGCTGGAACCACAGGCATGCGCCACCATGCTCTGCTGATTTTTTGACTTATTGTAGAGATGAGGTCAGCCCAGGCTGGTCTCAAAGCAGCGGGCTTAGGCAATCCACTTGCCCCCACCTTCCAAAGTACTTGGATTACAGGTGAGAACCACCGTGCCTAGCCTTATATATCCTGCACTTTCATTCACGGTGACACTGTATGACTTCAGCTTAATTCCTCTATTGCCGAGTGCTTTTTTGCAGTCGCCTCCTAAAGAGTCTTCCTCCTCCCCAGTTCTGCACCCTGGTCCATCTGCACGCTGCTGAGGAGAGTTTTATAAGATGCAAACGCATCCGGGTTTGGTGGCTCAGCCTGTAATCCCGCGCCTTTGGGAGGCTGAGGTGAGTGGATTGCCTGAGTCCGCGGGTTCGAGACCCGCCTGGGCA